GTCTTATAATGTACAAAACATTTAACAATCTAGCAAATTCAACAAGAAATTATAATCTGACAACATCAAAGGAAAAAGAGCTAAGATAGCTATACCTATGATAATTAAAAAAATTAACAGTTCTGTTTTTTTCCAAAAACAAGGTTGAAAAAAATTTGAATTTACTTTTAAGCTTAGCTGTAACTCTTCTATCACCATTCGAAAGTTGCTCTGGGACTTTTGAATCACTCTGTATACTGTATGGTAAAAGTCACAAAAACAACATTTTTGAACTGTGTGAGTCTTAATTTAAACGATAAACTTAGGGAGTAGAAGGTTCTGATCAGTAATAAGTAAAGTTAAAAATAAGTTGAATAAAACTTTTTTATTTTTGTCAAATGTCAATAAAAATACTACTTAACCCCACCTACCTAAATAAAGAAAATCGATACAGTTAGCTATTAACAGGCGTGGTATAAACAAATGTAATGTCGGCATTAGTGTCATCAGTACAAATTAACTAAAATTTTAACGTCTAATAGTGTTAACACGGTGGGTATATCTCAGTAACTAAAAAACTTTTATTTTACGATTAGTTATTATTTGGCATAACTTATCATATACCTTAAAATTATAGGTATAAGTTAAGACTCACCTTGTATAAGAAATGAATGCTTACTTTAATATAAAATGGTCGTAAAAAAGTAAAACTGTAATATGTAAAACATCAATAGACAAAATCATTATAAAGTTGTAATTGTTTGTAGAGATATTTTGACTTACTTATTGTGAAAATAATTAATTACTTGTATGTATGAGGTTCATTTTAAGTACCTCTGAATACAAGTATATAAAACATTACTAACATAGGTATTATAGTAAAGAAAATTTTATTTATCGATTTCTGTCTGTTAAAACCTAGGTTTCATGCACAAAAATAAGCTGATAACTGTGGTATAATATTATTATGGTATAATATCTAGACTGTTATAGTATTTGACACTACCGATTTGACCTACCGATCTGCCAATTTTACTTACAGCTACAAATTGCCTTTTAATTTTTGCATTTTTGCATTTAAGAGTTTTGAGATGTTTTCTGATAGAACACTAGGTATCTTTCAAATTCATTTTTCTAGATTTCTATTTACATAAACAAGAAAATGTCACATGAACGTATTCTGCAAACGCTATTATTTTATAGTTTATAGTTAATATTAGGTAATTGAACCGACATCTGCCATAGTTATGATATTAAGTAGTAACAAATACAGGGTACGCCAGAACTCGCGCCCCAGAGAAAAATGCCATGTAAGGTAAAATACTAGAAACATGAAAAAAATGTTAAAAAAATATGGTCTACAAAAATTTCGAAGTTATGAGAGACATAAAAAATGTAAAATGACAACAAATAAATGTCAAAATTTTTTGACAGATAGAATTTTTTAAACATTTTTTCCATGTTTCTGGTATTTTGTCTTACATGACATTTTTCTCTGGAGCACGAGTTCTAGCGCACCCTGTATGTATTGAGAGATCAAGATAGTTTTAATCCAATCATCCTTGGATCCAAACACGTATGTCTGTGCAACGTCAAAAAAATTACAAGTCGAAAGGTAAAATGGCATGATCAAAAAGATGATGATTTTAATAACTAAATTTATGATTTACTTTCAAAAAAGAACGGCCCTATTACGAGTATTATACGTCGGCGACTGATTATTGTAACACAATTTGCCGTTTTACCTTTCGACTTTTCATTGACGACATTTCACCTGCAGTTAGTTCAAAAACAGACATATAGGTTTTCGAATCAAAAAGATGACTCCATTACATTACTCTCGATATACAGGGTGTTTACGATCTTGGAGTTGAAAATTGACTTACCTTACTTACTTAATAAAAGAGTATAACCGAGAAAGATAACTAACACAATTGCTATTATTAAAAATGTTATTTAATTCCAAAATATTGGTACACGGTTTGAGGGTCACTGGAATTATTTCCTTGTTCAGATAAAAATATCGTATCCGTGACAATAAAAGAGAAAAGTCACTTCATAGTATTAGTTTTTATCAAAATTCGAAGATTTTCTGTTTAATCTCTTCCAACAAAATGGTTTCCAATAGATTTGATTCGTTTTCCTTATTTTTGTTCCAAATTTATGAACATGGATGGTAAAAAATAAGTATTAAAACAATAAATTGGTTTTCGTGATTATGATTTACGGTGAAACACAAGGTAGTGGTAAGGCCATTGTTATTTATTATTATTATTATTAATTATTTTCTTTTCTTTAACAACGTGAATTTTTGTTTTATATAGCGTATTAGTTTTATTCTACTGTGAATATCATCTCATTTAAATTTCAACCTCAAGTCCGTACTTTTTATTTAAAAGATTAATAATTAATTAAATAATTAATTAAATTAAATCTAAATTATTTTTTGTAACTAGGTAAATAACATTTTCATTGTTGCAATCAATAATTACTAAATAGTAGTCGCGTTTTTATTGATTTTCTGTGAACAAATGCTACTGACATTCTTGAAAACACACAAAAAATTTTGGGTGTTTTTTCTGAAATAGCGGCACTAATAAGTATTCATACCTACCTGTTGAGGTAAAGTATCAAATCAAGAGTTTTTTTGTATAAACTTCTTATTTTCTGATAAAAAAAAATATGAATAATAAATTGAGAGTGTAATGAGCCAATTTTAATTTCTGTATATCGTTGTGTCTGCAGTGAAGCTTGAGTTATTTATTTAACAAACTTCCTGAAAGCTCGCTCTCCCCTATACTTGCGGTTGGTAATCTGCCACGATTACGTGCTTTTGTAAGAATGTGTGCAAGCAATGGAGGGTGCAAACATAAAGTATTTGGCTGTTACAAAAGCACGCAGTGTTGGGTCAGATTGACACAAAAATGTGTCAGGATGTTAAAGGATGACGCACCCAACTCGCCCTAGAATTCGCTACAAGATTGCACAAAACAAAACTAAAAATTAAATTCCTAGCAATATAAACAGTGACCCGACCGATTCAGTGACCAGTCAATTAAATGAAATTGGTGACTGCCATATATCAGACCAGAAGACCCCACACGTATAAATAATGGAACGCAAGCAGGGGGCGCAGCCCTCCTAAGAACATTTGTTTTTCAGTTTGCTTGTTTATTTGGAAGTTGCAGGCATGCAACCTTGACTTCCGTCTAATTATCCTTTGATATAATATCATTGTTAGAAACGCTGTGGCCATAATTGAAATATTATACGTATGGATTAAATTAGTTATTATACAGAAATGTTCGTGTTTAAAGATAATGGAATTAATTTAACGAGATCAGGAAGTTATTTTGATGATGATGGGTCAAAAATACCCAAAGACCTCACACCAATAAATAGGAAATATTCAAACAGTAGCTGGGCCAGGTGGGTGGTGAACTGCTTCTGTTTCTTTCGCTCGTTATTTTCGATTAATTGTTTTCATCCGACATTTTGACGGTAAAATACCACACCTTTATTAATTTTTGTCAAGTGAGTAACTCTATAAATTACACTCAAAATAGCTTCTATAAAAGAACAGTACCTGTAATAAACTAATTAATTAAAACTGAAATTTTCCAACTACCATAAACTAATTGCCTCTTCTTTGATTAAAATTTAAATCACACCATTAAAATTGAACGTTTAGATTACACGCATAAAAAATCTACAAAAGAACAGATATAGTTTAGTTCTCATTATTTTAATTACCTAATTAATTAAAAAATATTTTTATGTTCCTTTATATTTCTCAAAAGTGGTCATGTTCATTGTCCTGGAACATCTATATTATATTGCTCCAAACTAATTAAAAAAAGTATTAATAAATAAACTTAACTGAAGCTATTTACATAAAAACGAGAATATTTTGTCATTATAAACGTGTAATTAGTAAACAAAAATTATATTAGAACAACAAATTAAATTGTTGACTACAAGTCTGATTACCATTTTTGATATATCGCCGCAATGCCTTTGCAAAACCATAAAATGGATCCTTGGTAAAGAGAAAAAAAATTGCACATTGGTTATGTACATTTCAAAAAATAACTTAATAATTTGCTAGTTGAAAATAATAAATGTTACAAATGATAACGCAGCAAAAAACCAATAACCTTTACTTTTATTCAACAATAACCCATTATTATTACATTAGATTTTCAGTCAGATTTGAAAAGTCCTATTCGAAATTAAATGTAATCTGATCGTCTGCCAATCAGTACATATTTCCGTGTGTGGGATTAAAAACCTACCAAATTACATGGCTTGAAAAATATTTTTTTTTTTAATTATACTGAAACAACTAAATGGCATCGTGTGTGTCCCAACGATAAAGTTTAATGCTTTCCATATGGTGATTTTCATTTCGGATATCCGAAAGCGGTTTAAATAATCGTTTCCAGCCTTGTAATATTAGTGAATGTCAAAAATATGATTCTTTTTTATTAACTTTTATTATTTTGTTATAAAGTAGCAATATTAGCGCGTTCTATGTCAATAAAACATTTATTTAGACACAAGCCATTTTTACTTCTACATGAGTTTCTTTTTTTAGCATTTTATTGGTAGACAAAACGATGTCATGACTATTCCTTTATTATGCCAATACTCACGAACCATTTTATTAAGTGATTTGAGTGCTGGTATAATTTTGAAATTAGACATTTGATTTGATCAATATTGTATACTATTAGTTCCAATTACCTGTACTTACCTGACGTTTGTATTTTTATCTTGACAAACAATTGAACGCTTTACAGAGTGCATGAATTTATTTTTCTGTGTAATATTTTTTTCCGAGCATGAAATGCTCGTTAAGGTTATGAAACTTTTATCAAGACCGTTCCATTTCGCTTTGCATGTTAGGTACGCATATCAACATTAACATTTTTATTTGTCATTGGCTTTTGAGTAAATAAAATTAATAACTTTATTGTGGTGAAATACAAGGTATAAAAGAAATGGAGGCAAATCGCTGGAATATTATTTATTTTATATAATCTATATTTTACAATTGAATTATAAACAATTTTTGTAGGTACATATTTTTCACTATGTTATGTACTTAGATCGAATACATTATAAATAAGCTACAGCTCACAGACAATATTATATAAATATTTACAATAGTTTCATTTAAATATACAGTAGATTCAACTTTTTACCTAATAAATATTGCTTTCGATTCCGAATTATTTTGCTAATACAATAAATAACTAGACCTAGTTATAAATTTGTACAGTGTGTTATGTACAAGGTCGGATCAAAAATTCCGTGTTTTGCACGGGTCTTTGGTTGTCGTGCAAGAAAAAACCAAACAAGAATATGATCCCATGCGATTTAAACAATAATGGCACTGTTTGTAAAAACTGTTATTTAGTACCACACAGCTTGCAATTGTGTTTAAATGAATGGTACATTAATACATTTTTTGTAACACGAAGCTCTGAGAATTGTAGAATTAAAGAAACAATGCTAACATACTCGAGAGATCACCGCAAAAAGTTGCCCAACTCTTAAGTAGACCATTGACAACTTACCCGACTTCGTCTTTGGACAAGGTAAAAAAACTCTCAAATCACTGTAAAAATCCAAAGAATTTCACTCTGACCTTATCCACGGACGAATCACAATAAATCACAATAAACAACTGGAAGCATCAAATTATCACGAAAAAAACAAGCGGCCCTACGAAGGGCTTTTGGTGCCTTGCATTTCTTGTAATTCTTCCTCCTCTTTCGTTAGAGGAATGGTTGAGTGATTATACAGTCCTTGGGCCATTAACTGAAGAGCCAGAGGGTTTTTCTGGCCCGACGCTTTTTTGATTTTGGCCCTTTTGTTCTGAAACCAGATTTTGATCTGGGCCTCGTTTAGTCCCAACTCCGCACTGAGTTGCTGCCGCCGCCTTTCAGTCAAGTAGCGGTTTTCAGCAAATTCGTGCTTTAGCCTGGCTAATTGCGCTCCTGAAAAAGCCGTCCTGGGCCGTTTTTCCTCGGCAGTGGGTGCCCCTTGCTTGACTCCAGGTTTCTTGACTCGCCGTGTTCGCGGACCTAGAAAGAATAAAATCTGTAATGAGAGTGTTGTTAACACAATTTCCTTATGGCCTGCAACAAAGATTTTAATTATTGCCGGACAATGCGGACGCATTAATGGCAGTAATTTAATTTTTGTGTCATTGTGAATGGAACATAATCCGCCTCCTTCATTTTGCATCAGCGTTATAAAAGGGAAAGTGATTAATGAACGGCTTGTAGCTAATTCACGGATGAACCCTCTTTGCACGTCTTGCTCGCTTTTTACTTGTTATACGGTCTTTCAAGCAAGTGATGCAAATGACTTGCAAGAAACGCTGTGTTTACACCCTGCCTTTTCATGATTGACTTGGAAACTTTTGTGTTTGTGCTCGCTAGTTTCCTTTCAAAGAAAATTGATTTTGCCAGCCGAGAATTTTTACAAACGCGATCAACGGAGGGAAATTTATTACAAAAGCTATTTCGTGTTAAAATTCAACTGACATCACAGCGAATGGTACAAGAGACTCAAACCAATTTAGGGAGACGTATTTTAATTAAGCTTAATTATGTAAAAGAGGCAAAATTAGTTCCGTGTGATTGTTACAATAGGAGGAATGCCAAGAAATTGCAAGAATAAGCAACAAAATTAATAAATAGGCAAGTACAAAGTAATTAAGAAAACATTTTATAAAAACTTAAAGTAAATACATTTTAGTCCTGTTTTTGAATCTAATTTAGGTTCTTGGTTTAATTAAAATAAGGATTCTAAATATTTACGTATAACAAAGCGAAATAAATAGATTCTTTACGGTACACAGTTTAGAAAATAAATACTAAATAAATTACCTACATAATGAGTCTGTTTTGAATTTTATTAGCTTTTCCGCAGTAAATTTTTGTTTGTTGTATATTTTTGTTTCATACACAAAACTAATTTGTTTGTACTACAGCAAGGCTTTCATTTGCTTTTATATTTCAACAGAAAAATATTGCCTAACTGCATAGCAACATTTACTTATGTTTTCTAATTGTTTTATTACGAGTAAATTATATTCATGGGCGTCGTTTGTGAGGTGGGCAAGGTGGGGCATGTGCCCCCTGGAAGTTAGCCAAAGCCAATTTCGTTGTGAGAAGCAACCATTGTGATATGTCATTTTAATTGTCAAATGTGTTAAATTTTATCACAAGTTATAAAATATGACATTATTTTATCACTAGTGTTAAAAGAAAACAAATAACACTATTTTCATAGCAACAACATGACCTAATATGATTTTGGAAAATTATTGAAATCACAGATATTAAATTCGAATTTGATGCCTATGCTTTTCACAGCCAAATTGGAAAAAATCTTGTATAAAACACGATTCAAAATGGCTGTTTTTTGCACACGTCTAGTAAAAAACACGTTTATTTTACAATTTGTTGCATAAATAGCTAACATTTCTTTAAACATTTTTTAACTTTTTTATCATAGACAATTTTGGTTGAGAAAAACAAAATTTGCAACTTTTATTTCTTTAAATTTCTATTGATTTCTTTAAATAATCTATTGATTATTGTTTTTATTTGAGTGTATTTTATGTTTTAATTTCCAAGTGTTACATTTTCCTTAGTATTTATTAGTTCATGTTATTTATTGATTTGTGTTATTTTATGCTAACTTTTATAAACTTTATATTTTTCATATTTTTTTAACTTTTACACTTTTATACTCCAATTTATGGTTTTAGAGATTCCTGTCTGATTGTTTCATTTATAATTTCCGTTAGAAAAAATATGGTTTTATGTTCCTATTTTGTATAAAATGTTTTTGTGTTTGTAATAAAATATGTATTGCGTTGAGGTTGCCCCTCTCTAAAAAAAATTGTAACGACGCCCATGATTATATTGTGTTTTATTATAAAACAACACATATATATTTTTATTAGATTTTATTTTCTACACTAGAAAACTAGATTCAATTTTTATTAGGCATTTGTAGCGTTGTGAGACATGTTTTTTTTTTTAATTTAACGATGAAATAAAACCACAACTACAGACTTTACAGTTAGGAACAGATAGATAGATAATGGAGGTCTTGCTTCTTATATCGTATTAGAATAGTTCTACACGTGAAAGATGTCTTACTTGTAGATTTAAAAGTTGTAACTCGTTTGTAAGAATTTATAGTCAATTTACGACATACTAATCGGCTTTTAGTGACGTAATAACTGTTTTAGATTATCAATAACACATAAGCTGCACTAAAAGCAACAATTTTGTTGACTAACAACAGCTTTGCTTAAAAATAATTAAATACTCAAATCCGGTTTAAAGTTAAGATCTTAAAGTCCATCACTAGATTTGATTAAAAAGTGTATCGCTGCAAATGACAGAAAAAAAGTGATAATAAAGAAATTAGCGTTAATATCTAGACATTTAATTTAGTATCCGATGCAACTTTTTGCATGTTTAAGTCAATTGCCAATATAAAAGAAATACTGAGTCATTCAGCTTCTTTAATGCATACTAATTGAAGGCTGTATTTTCCATTTGCACGAGATTTTTCAGGAACAACAAAAATAAATATATAATGAACTCGTACACTTTTAGGCTCCTAGGATAAGTTCATATTATTTTTATGCTTGATGATTTAATTTCTAATTAACGGAAGAACAAAAAATATAGCAGGTTATTACGCCGCTAAAATTATTAATGATTAAAATTCCTAAGCTTCAAATAATTATCATTGCCCTTCTGTCTCTCTCATGAAACATTGATGTTTAAGCCGTGAAATTAATATATCAAAGCATTTAATTTGTAGAAAGAGAAATAAATTGGCGACGGATTTGGCCGATAAGTCATGCTGTACATACAATTCCGGTGTAAAAAGCGGAAAAACTCTTTCGGGAAACTAACTAGTAAAAACTATAAGCATCGGTTTTACCGTAAACAGTGAACGTATTGATTGCTAAAATGATTAATGAATTAGGAAAGGCAAAGAGTTTGTATGTGAAGCAAATGCCTGAGCAGTAAACACGGCCGCCATTGCCATGTTAAGATGTGCAGACCGCTTTTTCATCCACTTTGCCCCTATATTTCTTCTTCTTTCAATTAACTTTCTGCACGTAGCTAACATACTCGCATTTTATACAGCGTAAGATTAATGTTTATCTCTACTTCTTAATTATATGTTCTTAAACTTTACCATTCCGTAAAGAGAGTCTAATGTGATGCATATTAACATACTTAATGCCTTAGTGGTTTTCTAATGAGATGAGAAAAATGTCTGTTAACCTGCTAGAGAAAGAACAACCTCCTACTTATTATTATCAATCATGGAGACTAATTTCGGCTTATACACTTGGCAGCATAATTATCCTTGTTCCGTTTCTAATATCTTTGAAACTGATCAAGAGCTTCGCCACCTGACAACAGAATGCGCTAATTGCAAACCTGTCAAGCTCCATTGTCTCAAGATGAACCAATATAACTGTCACCAGTCACATCTTAGTACCCATTATTGGTTTTACACCAACTCCCACGCAATACGAACCTTTTTTTTCTTAAAAAGCCGCCATTCCTTTCCCAATTGCGACTATTTAAATAACTGATAAGTACAAATCTTTTGTGTTTAAATTTTAAATGTATAATAATTACAATTACAATAAAATAAAAACTTAATAATAATTAATTAATATAATATATACAGGGTGTTTGATCCAAGTCGCCCCAACCGATAACACCTAAACTTACTTTTTTTCAAAAACTAAATTTTCAAATAATAATACCTATTCATTCCTGGCTTTCTTAGTAATTGCATCAACTTTTTTTTGGCACATCCGGTGTAGCCGGAAATGCTACCAAATTTAGTTTTTCAAATGAAACGCCTATGTTTTTTTGCTCCAAACAATAATAGTTGGCATCAAAAATACGGTAAACAACTATTTATTACATTTTACTTTACATAATGCACTCAGAAAACAATTTAAATTTTTGAATTTTATTGCAAATTTTGCAACGTAGGCGGATTTTACTTGTCAAGGTATTCATACAAAAAGCAATATGCTTGGATACCGTTTAATTGTTATTTTGACAAAGCCTAATTTGTAAATAAATCTTATTGAGATCTTTAATAATGGATGATAATAATTACGAAGAATTAGTAACTCAGTTTGAAGTGTATTTTTAAGTGCAATAGAAATAGAGCGGAAGCTGAAAGACGGTATAGAGAAAAATACCCAAATCTATTTGGGTACTGATTTGAACTCTAGTTCACCCAAATCGTTGGATATTTAGTCGAATTGAAAAACAAATGAGACGAACAGGTTAGCTTCTTAAAACTAAAAACCTGTGGTTCTTAGTGAAGAAAATAGAAATATGAATGTTCTKTTATCAGTCGAAGAAAATCCAAGAGTTTTCGTAAGAGAACTCGCTCATCAACTGACAAATTAAATTTGTCAAACCAACAATTAAACTCTATCCAAGTATTTTTTTATTCAAACCTTTCCTTTAAAATTAAAAATCAGGCTACGCGACCAATTTCCTTATAAAATTCTAAAATTTAAGATGTTTTTTGATTGCATTGTGTTACGCAAAATATAATAACTAGTGCTTTACAGTATTTTTCATGTCAATTATTATTGTTTGGATGAAAAAAAAATAGGTATTCCATTTGAAAAACTAAATTTGGTAGCATTTCCGGCAACACCGGATGTGCTAAAAAATTTTGGTACATTTATTAAGAAAGCCAAGAATTAATATTATTACTTAAATATTTACTTTTTGAAAAAAAGAAGTAAGTTTAGGTGTTATCACTCGGGGCGACTTAGACCGAACATCCTGTATATGATTCACTAAAGTATTATTATGCAATTTATAAAAAAAGTACAATCTAAAGTGATAAAAGTAAATAAATAAAAAAACTTAAAAGCATTAAATAATTTTGAAAGAAACCTAAAATATGTAGGTACATATTTAGTTCCTGACCTATTTTTTAAACAAAAATAATTATATAACACAAAATGGTTTTTTTTTGCGACTCACCGCATGTTTGTACCATTTGAATTTTTTGATAAAAATTAAAAATACAAATATAGATGCTTTTACCAATATGGATGTGTGTGTCTCTGATAACTTACTTCGTCCTAAAACAAAAGAAAAACAAGAAATTAGTAAAAATCCAATAAAAGTACAAATAATAATAAAAATTCCAATTAATCCCGTCGGAGTTTTATTTCGTGTGAAATTGAGATAGGGCGAGAGAGTGACGATGGTTTAAAGTTAAATTCTTTTTATACGCCATTTCCTGTCTAATGTAGTGTAATGTAAACGATGGTTTTATGTGATTTTATCAAATCTAGCTTGATCGATTTTTTTTCTCACATTGAGGGCGTGTTTTATTACCACACACCGTTTTATCGCTCGTGTAACAGACGTCTTTAGTTCCGGGTGCAAATTTACCGATAAAATTAGCAATTTTAAAAAGGTCACACTTTGATTTATAATCCTATCAAAACTTCTTGGAACAATAGCGGATATTGCACCGATAGTGTAACAGGGCACAGCTTTAAAATTATGAAATACGACTACCCGTGATAAAACTGCACTGAAACGGCGGATAATTTATGAAGCAAACTTTAAAACGCATGCACACTTAGTAGGGAGAAAAGTGTACCAACACGAAAACTTTAATGCGGTCACTTATATCTGACAAGTTGATGCTGCCTTATCACTGGGTGATTAATTATGAAACATGATTCAGCTTTTGCAGTTTGGAATGGACTTGCAACTTCATTCGAACAGAAAATAATATAAATTAATACCTAATGCAAAAAAAGGAAATTTAACAGCTTCAAAAATTGAACTTATAACCGTTATACTACTTTACATCATTTATAAACTTTAGCGGAAAATTATAATTTCCTATAAATTTTGAGGTACTGAGTCTAAGAAATAGTATGCCCTTTTTTTAGTTTTTAGAAAAGAATTCAAAATGCAAGCGAAATGTATTTTAAGACTCATCTGGTAATAAATTTGAAATAATTCAGTAACAATTTGAATTTTAAATAAATTTAAAATCGGAGGCCTTCGTAACTGTGACGTGATAAAAAAATTAACCGTTATTTTTGTTTGATCAAAGGTAAATAGACATAAAAATAATAATTTGATTAAAAGTATATTAAACGAGGGAGGTACCCAAGGGGGGAGTTCAAACCCTTCCTGAAATGCTGAGCACTTTGTTATATAGTGTTCTAAGTGTTAAAAATTTAGTTTTTTTGTTATTTTAGTGCGTTAATTTAAAATTTTTGTGAATTAATTTTTCATGTGTTAATTATACAGTGTTTCATTTTTAATGTTAGGTACAAATTTAAATAGTTGATAGAATATTTAATTTTAAGACAAAAGTGTTTCGAAAAATGCTATGAAAGGAAGCTACACCCCTTAAAAAAGGTACGTTTTTTAAAGGGTTTTTCCTAATATTTCAGAATAGATAAAATTACAAAATTTGGTACCTTTATATGTACACGTAAACAAATGCTAAATAACAAAATTTTTAATCAGGGGCGTCCTAAACGGTAAAACAAATTTAATTTTTAATTTTTATGCTGTTTATGGTCTGTAACATAAATTTTTAAACCGACTTTTACTAAAAATCCGTAAATTGTATCGGAAAAACACAAAAGACCTTTTTTTATAAAAAACTATGAAATTTTGTTGCTGAAAGTGGCTAGAAACTACAGGCAAAATAGTTAGAATAAATTTTTACCCTAATCCCATCTAGTTTAGGAAGCCCTTAATTAAAAATTTCAACATTTTATTTTTGTACTTGTTTAGGTGTATAAAAGTTATCATCTGTACCAAATTTTGAAATTTTTTTCTAAAATGATGTCGGAAATATGGAAAAAAAAACCTATTAAAAGACGCACCCCTTGCGTAGAATTTTTCGATATATGTTCATAGAAAATTGTTGTTTTAAAAATGAATATTCTATCTCCTGTTTAAATTTGTAACAATAAAAAGTATTAAAAATTTATTTTATTTTTTGTTACTTTTGTGAGTTAATTTGTATTTTTTTATGTCTAATTAGGATCTCTTATTTTAATTTAAAATAAAAACGTGTACTTAGAGATTTTTGATTTTTAATCCGCCTTCTTTCATTTCATTCATTTTCATGAACCAACAAGAAACCCTCGCCCCCGAAATAAAATGCCCCGTATTAAACAAGTTATTACTTGTAAACTAGTGTTATCAGAATACGTGCGCTGTATTCTTGGTTGCCTATTTTGACTATTAACATATTAAAGTCTATGAAAATATTGTCAACAATAAATATAATTTAAATATAACTTTTAAAAAATAAAAAAAATATGAGTGTGACAGGTCTATTTCGAGTTCCTTATTCCAGCCGGTAAGATATGAATGTCGGCTTTTGTTCAAGTTTTTTGATAATTAATTAAGTCGGGCCAAAGCGCAATGTGGCTGCTTGCAGTATATTTGTATTATAAGTATGGTAGAGTACTCAATGTATATTTATGAGTGCCCACCCAAATAGAAGTCGGGCATCCTCTAACATTTCCACTCAACATCATAAGAATATTCTCGTGAAATGTTTTGCAATTTATCAGTCTGTTTGAGCTCATCGAGATAATTAAAAGTCATATTAAATAAGAATTATCGCACTCGCAATGCCGACTCGACTTATAACCGCAATTTTTCGTTTTTATTGCAGTTTTGTTATGTTTTTTTCACTCTGGGCTAATCGCGTTTCCGCCTGGCCAACATTCCGTGTTCAGCCTCACGAAATATTCTCCTACATCACGTTATTTTCCTCAACAGTTTCATTAAACTTTACTCGATTTCAATGTAAAGTTGATAGAGAATCTGACAGAAACATTTTCAGTGTTAGTATACGCAACTGAGCTTAAGTGCCTGTTGAAATATTTAACAACTGTTTTTCTTTTTCTTCATGCCAAAATAATGTCTCGGCTAATTTATGGATCGTTGAAAAACGCGACGACTCCTTTCAATTTTTCAAACACATCAAAGAACAACCACAAACGTCAATTTAACGCGACAGTTAATTAAACGTGTAAGACATGAAGCCACACTTAAATCGCATTCACAATTATGTTACATTAATCAAGTCAAAGCTCGAGAAAAAATTACAAAAATCCACGATCCGAAAGCTCGACTCTTCCTGACAACTTCTGTCATCCTCTCCACTCTTTCTCTCCAATAGATTAATGCAGCGATGACGTTTTCAATATTACCACCACGACCCTAACCGAGTCGATAAAATAATGTTCTGGGGTTGCCGGGACGATTTACAGAAACATTCAATTACCAACCGAACTGCTCGCTACCGATAACAACTGGAACACATCGTGAATTTATATTAGATCGGGTGAGTTTAGTAATGGATCCAGTGGCGTGCGAAGGTTAGCACAATGCAGATTATATGACTAGATACACAGTAGCCATGGCAAAATATACATAATTAATTATAATTTAATTATTAACTAAGTAAAGATACAAACAAAATTCTTAAGAAAGTTAAGACTAAAAAAAATATTGTAAAAAATATAGGTATATAAAAAAATGTTTTTTTTGCGTCTGAAAGAAAGCATATTTGGATACCAAAACCGATGCTTTAATGAACTATTATAACATCGATTTGGATGCTGAAATAGACTAATACAATTTACTTAGTAGGGATTGGTGATGGTGATTTTCAGCGGCGTTTTGGGCGATTTCTCATTTTTTAGATGGTGTGCATGAAATATTTTCAGTATTCATTGTTAATGCAACAAAATTTTGAAAAATACTTGAGACTTGACAATCCGGAAATTGATCTTTTAAACCACAACTTTATAAAAACAAAAGTTCTTAAATTTTGAAAAATTGACTTTTATGTTAAAACATGTTTTACATAAAAACGCGCAAAATAGAATAAAAAACTTGTTTCATAAGTCACTTGTGGGAACTCGTTCTTTATAAAACTCACGTTTCGCTGCTCGTTTCATAAATATGAACTCGTTCCACAAAATTTGCTTTACGAAACGAGTTCTTTAATATATCTACTATTTAAAATTTTTTAAAAAATATAATAAAAAGTAAGAAATATTTTTTTTGTCAGAGAAGATCATTTGTTTACACCTTAAGATTTTAAAATTTATAAAAGCTTTGGAGGCGGTTAATTGAGCAAAGTAACTGTGCAATTAGTCCCCACGCTGTTATAAATTTTAAAATCTTGAGCTGTAAGCAAATGTTCTTCTTTTCTCTTTTGTTTTGTTTTTTCGTATTTTTAATTTTTGATTTTTTTTGTTTTTTTTTATTTTTAGATTTTGACTTTCAAACTTTTTTGATGTTTGAATTTTTTTCATTTCTAAACCTTTTTACATTTTGTTTTTTTGTATTTTTAATTTTGGATTCTTTTGTTTTTTGATATATTAATTTTTTTGAACAACCTGTTAGTTTTTTCCTACTCTAATACCCAATCGCGTTATTTATTTCAATTAGGAGCCAAAAAATAGACAATTATTTGTAACAATTGTTGATTGTTTATAAATTATTGATTAAAGTAAATAAGTATTATTATTGTATTTACGAATTTACGAATTACGTGTGTATGCAAAATATTTTTGTTCGGACGACAGGAACTGTCTCAAATTCGACTGTCTAGATAGACAGAGAGACAAGGCAAGTTAAATAAAAGCTAATAATAAGAAAACAAAATTTTTAATTGAGATAAAAAATAGTCTAATTATTTAATTGCTCATAATATTAGTTAAGTAATTAAGAACAATTAATAGGTGTAAAATCTTCGTTTACATTGACAGCCAAGTACCTACGTACTTATATAAAATTATACAAGAATACAATTTAAATGCGAAAATTTGTGATGCGAGCAATACATAGTTAATGTACTTACAGGGATTTAGAGTACAAAATTTGGTATTTTTTAAATCTAAGAAGGAATTAATCGATTCAGTTTATTAATTTAAAACGGAATAATAATTAATAGGTTAGTCTTTACGATTTACTACCTAATTAACTTTAGCATCACCGAAATCAATAATGTTTTAATTAATTTGTTACTTGTTGCATTATAATTCACACCGTGTATCGTGTTAAATTAATTCAA